AGAAGAGGATATGCACATTTATGCAACCATGTTATTGTAAGCTTGTTATTAGTTCTCCCCTGTATAGCTTATATCTTATATTAAAGGTAGAAAAAATTCTGAAGTGATTTATCTTAGTCTGATTTTTTTTGGGGGGGGGGTTACATCTCAAAAACATTTTAACAGGGGTATATGGACTTTCTATATCCATTGTAATCCATCTTCAGCTCTCAGAGGAGATAGATATAGGTGTTACAATATATAATACCTCTATGCATGAGACTTAACTTCCAAAGCCCTCCTATTTGCCCTCCCCTACCCCCAGTGTTTAGAAGAGGAAAAAACTCTGACATCCAATTTTCTGTGCATAGTATGCACAAAGACCATCTCACCCTTGTGGAAATACTTATTGGGCATGTTTGAAACAAGTAAGGCATGTTATATTTGTAATTTCTCTCTTGGAAGCCTTGTTTCTAAACAGTGTATAACGATGTTTCAATTTAAAAAGCATGCTTCTTCAACCTGTAATTTCTAAGGTTTGCAAATTATTTTACAGATCTTTGTTCTATGTTTACATCATGTGTTTTTCTTTCCTAATTTCAAAAGGTCATTTTTTCAAACTTTTGGGTTAGATCAAGTCTATACAATGTAAGGCCTACAGGTTACATGTGGCCTCTCTGTATTTTTTTAAAAAAATCAATAACTCTGGTGCTGCCAAATATTGCCACCATTACCCCAAAAGATATGCTGCTGAGCATCTCCAGTGCATCCATGCTCATCAACACTGCCAGCTCTGTCACTGCCCCAGAACTATATCTATCAAACAATTGATAGGCATGCTAGTTATTCTTTGTGGCCTACAATTATTTTTTAATTAGTCAGTGGCTCTGTCCCCTGTATAGATTTTGGTAGGCCTGGTTAGATCATAATGGGGACTAATGAATACGTTGATAAATAAAATGATTTTTTATTTAAAAGATTTGTGGATCAGCCACTTAAAATGTAATTCTAGTGCCCCTAATTATATATATATTTTTAATCCAACAGCCTCATGAATTTGATGAATGCAGATTTGATATTAGTGTAAACGATAGTGTTTGGTATCTACGTGCTCAGGATCCAGACCATAGGCAGCAATGGATAGATGCAATTGAACAGCACAAGGTATGGATTTTATTCTTTCCAATTAATACGTTATAGTGATGAATTAGCTAGCTGGCTAACACTTTCTACATTTGCTGAATCTATAACTTCCAGAATTATAGCCCATGTGGCTGATTCTGGGAGTTGTAGTTCCAATGGGTATACAAGTTAATAAATCAGGAAAGGCTGCTCTAAATTTTGATTAACAACTTGAGTAATCCAGTGTGAATAAAAACTAATGCTATAATACTCAACCACCAGAAACATTATAACATAAGGTTTTGAAATGAATAATACAGATATATTAAAAATTGGTATACAGGCAGTCCTTTATTTGCAACCACAATTGGGACCGGTTGCTGATGTAGCAGTAAATAAGCAAGATACTCACATGATTGCTTTACTCAATGAATGCAACCCCAGCACTTCTTAAGCAGACAGAGCAAAATAGCTACCTAAAGGCTAGAGCAGAAATCCTCCTGGCAGATAGCCCTTTCACTCTAAATGCTCCAGAAGCCCACCAAAGGATTTCTGCTCCCATCTGTGTACAGATGAGTAATCCTTTGGTGGATTGCAGGAAAATCATTCGTGGAGCTGCCAGAACAACTCCTAAAGCCTACCAAAGGCTTTCCCTCTTTTCCATGCAGGGAGTGGAAGTCCTGAAGATTTCAGCTCTTTTTTGCAGCCCACTAAAGGATTTCAGCTCCCTTTTGCTTGCAACCATCCTTGACAGCTTCCATATTGGATTTTTGGAGAAGCTGGCAGAGAAGATTGCAAATGGCATTTACATGATTGTGGGAAGCTTGTCAATCAGTCGTAAATGTGAGCTGGTTACCAAGTACCAAAAAAGTGGGGGTGGGGGTGTAGGGGTGGAAAGGGAGGGAACTGACATTTTACAGTTGCCAGAAAAGTACTTTTTCAGCTTTTTCAAGGCCATGTTAACTTTGAAGGTTTGTTAAATGACTGTTCAGAAGCTGAGGACTACCTGTGTTAACATTTTTCCATTGAAAGGCATTGAAGAAATGTTAATGAAATAATAGGAAGCTGTAAGGAATTTACAGTGTGGTAATATGGAAAACTAGAGTCGAGAATGTCTAGCACATATGTGCGAGGGGAACTTTACCTTTGCCTTAATATGAAAAACACACAAACTATTATCTCCAGCAAGTGGAGCTTAATTTTTTGTCTGCACTGATCATAAAGTTCAAAAGTATGTTGGCATAATCGGTGATACTTGGATACAATACAGTTTGCAAAGCTTGGTAAAGAAAATCTGTGATTTGGTAAAACAAAAAAATGTTTTTTCCTCTCTAGTATGATAAGGTTAAAAAATGTTTATAATCAGCTTTAAGATTAATTGTCCTAATCTTCTGACTTGGGTTTGAATACTGTCTTGTACCAGTATGAATGACCAGGAGCAAATTTTTCAAATGCTTTTATAGGTAACAGATGGAAAAAATCTCCTTTTTCACTTAACAGTGAAAACAGATTGATGATCTCTGGAGAGCCAGAGATGAAGGACATTCCTCCATCCTGGTCCTCCTTGACCTCTCAGCGGCTTTCGAT